CCAAACTGAGCATGTGCAGCTTGCACTCTGTTCTATCAGCAGATGGATTGGGGACAGTAGAAAAAAAAAGGGAGGGTCAAAGAAGACAGGATCAAACAGCTTTTTTTTTTTTTTTTTTACACACTATGGAGGATTAACCCCTTAGGTTCCATAGTGACTATAACAAGCTGCATATACAGACTGATTGTACCGTTGTGGGTTTAGTAACAGTTTAATCCTCATGCTGCTAGCATTAGTAAATAAATCTGAAGGTATTATATATGAACTTTTCTACATTTCTTCTTTTACAATTTCTTCAGTTCTTCAGACTCTGACCTTCTACAAAAATGCAGGTTGGTCAGTGGTGGATTAAGTAGAGACATGAGGGCAGAGGTAAGTGTAAGTCAGCAATGGCCGCTCCCATCTTTCTATTCGAACAATTTTCCTTTAAGAAGACTAACATAAAACTATTTTTAAGGAGCAATTTCCATATATTTGAGTAACTTGCAGTGCTGTGTAACTTCATCACAATACCACATAAAGTACTGCTGGGAATTCAAGTGAATAATTCAGAGGTAATGACAGAGCTTAACTGCAGAGTACCGGTACTCATCTTCAGATCAATGCCCGTGTACATGTAATGTCCTACCAGGACCAGATTCTACATCCAACCTCAACTCATTTCTAAGTCTACAGTAAACCCTCAGCTTTTTAAACTCTTTCAGCAGCTGATTTACCCACTTATGTAGCATGCCACGTCTTCATCTTTCAATCCTTAAATATATGCTCCAGTCTAAGCTAGTACCATGGACTAGGCTTTCTGGTTCAGGATGACCCCTTTCTCCAGCAGCATCCTTTCACTGAAACAAACACAAAGCCCCATAACCTAGGATGAAAGGCACCCCTCTGCTTATCCTCCCTCCCTTTTCCAAGTTACCAGACTGACTGGAGACTGCACTGTCCAATCTTTCTTGTGAAGACTGGAAGTTCAGGGAAGCATCACAGAGAACGCATTTTAACTGCAAGGGCAGGGGTTCGAATTTTAACAAATAGTTCATGCTGAGGGTTTAATACTACCTTAAAACTTCTTAAATGCCAGAGTCTCAAATTCTTCTGCCACTAAACTATCTTCTGTCAGGAGAGTGTGGAGCTTAGCTTCATTTCAGACAGAAGTCCCCCTGTACAGGCCGGGCCTAGGATCCGTAAGGTCTCTACAGGGACATAAGGATTGACCTGAAGACTTGGTACATACAGGCAGCACTTCAGCACCATTGCTATCTTAGCCGTGTTTAGCCCTGGTTAGGTTCACGTTAAGACCAGCTCACATTATGTATAAATTAGGACAAGGGAGAGCACTTTCATTTAAAGCCTAGGGCTAGCCAGAGAGGTAGATATTTCTGGGGCAGAACAAGAGAAATCTAATAAATTCTTCCATCCATACTAAACCGTGTGAATGGAAGAATCTTCCCTGTCGGCTATTGTATTCAGAATACTCATACGGTGACTGTAGCTGAATGGATGCAGGCGCTACCACAGCTCAAACTGCATTCTATTCAGCAGGAATCAGGTAAGGAGAAGTACAGTCAAAGTGCTTTTGGCTGTATGTCTTCTGTGGATCATAGGAGTGCAGGTCATTGGGCACTCCTGTGACCCCCGTTTGTAGCTGTCAGAGGTCTGAAGTCTGCTGTTGGCTGACGTCGCTCAGCTGGTCCAGGCTAGTGACAGTCGCAGCTGTCTGCTCACAGCAGCGGTTAGAACTCAGCGACGATCAGCAGTCATGTGATCACTGAGCTCTCACCGTCGTCGCTCAGCCAGTCCAGGTGACTGACAATGGCGGCGAGAGCTCAGCGATCATGTGATTGCGGAGTTCTCACCCTCAGAGCCAGCGGGGGACTGATGCTGCATTCACCTAGGCAAGTATAATTTGGTAAGAAAAAAAAAAGCAAACCCATACCTCTCTTAACAAGGTGAACATCTTTTTCACAAAGTAGTAAATTCATACAGGAAGACAACAGGGGGCTGAAATATCACTTTTGGATGCCCTGACCCCTAAAGTGCAAAACTGATATTAAATGTCCTCATAATGGCTTCAAATTGAAGAACAAACTTCCAGATGGGCACAGGGTGGTGAGAAAACAAAAAGTTTCAAATACTCCCTTCCTACTGGACGCTGCGGAATAGATCACAGAGATAGACCCCTCAGTATGGATATCAGATGTAGTGCTGGTGATGCCCTAATGTAGAACTAGCTGCACATGACTGTTCCAATTATACAGGGATGCTGGTGGACTTGTCTGCATCATAGCATGAAAAAAACAAAAAAAAAAAATCAATGGACTTCTCCAATCAGGATCATTTCCCACCCAACTTCACGGCAATATTCACAGATTATTGGAGCCAGTAGGCCATGTGTATGTCTGTAAATACATAACTGGAGTAATTTAGACATAATAAGGAACGTTCAGCTGTTATATGAAGCAGGAGATCCACTACACATTTACTGTTTGGTACATGAACAAAACTTCTTTTATATAGTGAAATATACAAAGTCATACAGGCATTGCCTCTGGAGCAAGCCAGTGATGTCAGGAAGTTTTGTTCTCATTATAAACAGACTTGGCTCATAACATGGCTGCTTCCTGTCCTGGTAAACAATCAAAAGCAAAGGACAGGCAGTATCCTCTACACCTACTGCCTTCAGGGACACCCCTGCCCACCTGCGGGGAAGGGGGGGTCACCAATGTCTCAGCTCATCCTAAGCAATCTGTACATAACTTGGCACTTACCTACACTATCTACAACTTGGCACTTGCCTACAAAGAATGCCTTGCTGAAAAACCTACAACTAGGCTTTCAGTGGGAGTTCCTGCCCTTAAAATGGGGAAAGTGAAAAAGTTAGTAGGTTAAGATCTCAGATACAGTGTCACTAGTACAAAAAGCAAGCAGGAGGAGAGGCAGTGACATGCTGTCAGCAGCACAGAGGGGATTGATGGGGTACACATTTTAGCAAGTTAAAAAAAAAAAAAAAGTTCCTAAATTTCTCTGTATATTAAAACATATGGCATAAGGGACATTTAATTTCAGGGATGGGATTGTAACCCCCAATACCGAGCATGAACCACAGACTTGTTGGTAGGCAAATCCCCAGGTCACCCTTGTCGCTTGACAAGTTTGTCGTTTGTGCACAGTATTGGGGGTTACAATCCCATCTCCGAATTTAAACGCACCGTATGCCATATGACTTCATATACAGTGAAATATAATTTTTTTTTTCTTTTTGCTAAAATCTGCACCTTGCCTCTTGACATCACTGCGGATATCAACCCCAATAAACTTAGAAGCCCATTGCATAGATTCAAGTGGTTCTAAAAAGTAGGTGTTTCTTTTTCCTTTCCTATGAATTATGCTAAAAAAAACCTTCTGCATGCAGCTCCCCCCCTCTTATACTTACCTGAGCCCCATCTCAATCCAGCACTATGCACAAGAGCAAAAGGCTCTCTCCCTCCTCCTTTAGTGGGGTTGAGCCTACATGAATGCCCCCACACCAATCTATTTGCTGGCAGGCAGGGAGGAAGAGTCAGAAGCACCAGCGGGAGACCCCAGAATAGGAGGATCGGGACTGCTCTGTGCAAAACCATTACAGAGAGCGAGCAAGTATAACATGCTTATTATTTTAAAGAACAGAAAAAAATTAGGTTTAGAATCAATTTAACTGACCAGTAACACCGTGCAACTGTTAGTGTTACACGGAATAGAAAGATTCTTCAGATTAGCCTGATCTGATGGGTAGGTGTAGTAAAATACTGTAGATCCGCTTCCTTTATCGCCTCTGCACCCCCAGCCCACTTCTATCACCAAGCTCCCAGTGTAAGTCTAACAGCTTTGGGCCACAAAACCTTGACTGACTCTCACACCGCCATCCGTTTGGCTCTACCTAGGACCTGGCATGCAGAAAAGGACAGGAAGCCAATGTAAAAACAGAACCCAGGTATTTTTGCTAGCAGTATTAATACATTTATTGTTTTCTATTCCTTTACCTAATCCACTCCTCTGGATTAGAAAGTGCTTTTAATATTGTCTGGGATTTAAGTTCTCTCTGGCTTGGCTAGCTAAAATGGACATGATTGTACACAACATAAACAAGGTGAGTGTATCCTATCCCAGAGGCTCTCTCTCTGCCTTGGTTTCATAGAATGTTTTATTTATCCAGCAAAACAAGGATTTTATTTAAAACACAATTTAGTTTTGTGCAATTTTATAACCTAGCCTTTATCTGCGAAGACACAGACTAAATAAATTGCTTCTCAGCTCCAACAGCTTACAGTGTAGATGGTTAGACTGCCGTAAATCAGGAAAAAAAGAAAAAAAAAAAAAAAAAAGGAGGGCACGGCCTTCTCAAAGAACAGACATGAATCTTGAAGGTCACTTCAGAGGATCACCGCATGCAAACCAGACAGGTACAGCTAAAGTAGATAGAGTAATGAATCGCTTACAAGGTTACAATTGCATAAATATTTCTGAGTTAACAAAAAAAAAAAGTCAGTTACCTTGGTGGGGGGATTGGGCTAGATATAATTCTCATATATACATCTGTAAAATAAAAAAATATCTCTTAGAATTGAGCTTTTGACACGCGCTTACTTAAATCCTGGGAAGTGCTCGCTTGCTGTAAAAATTAAATGCAATTTTGTAACTGCGAGGAGAAGAATCTCAACTACCTTTTCTAAATTCTTTTTCTGTAAAAACCAAATCGATTTTTTTAAAAATGAAAGTATGCATCACTTTACCTCCAATTTTAATTTAGATAGCAAGCCTAGAAGGATTTATTGCACCATGGTGTAGCAGCAAGAATCACAAATGACTATGAAACACTGATAAAATTATACTCTCCACTCCTGTTTATGTGTGTTTTTTTATGTTCAAGCAGTCAGTAGGATATATTCAGTCTCGAGGTCCAAGTCCTTTTAGCCCTTTCAAAAAAAATTGAAAAAAAAAAAAAAAAAAAAAAAAAAAAACCCAGTTTATCTGTACACAAGGTGGGCTAGCTGGGAGGATTTGTAATTTAGCTGATTGTTTGGTGCAAATTTATGATAATCGCTTTTCCGGCAACAGTAATCGCGAGTGTAAGCGGTGACACAAGCTTCGCATGAAACTTTGGAGCAGACTGTGCAGGTGAGAGAGGCACCGAGCCTGTTGCAGAAGCTGCAGCGCAGAGAAGAGGAAAATTTCATTTTGGGGTTCTGTTGAGAAGACGGGTCTTGGGACGAACTGACGTAAGACTTCTCGCGCATCCCCGAACCGGAGGAGTAACCGTCGTTTTGAGCCGAAGTATTGATTGACAGGTTGCTCTGCTTGAGCGTAGAACCGTCCGGGCGATGGAGAATCATGCTTTCGCACTTTTGGCATAAGGGACCACCAGAAGACAGGCCGCAGCTTTGGCACTTCATGAATACTGTCTCTTTGGCTAACAGCGAACGCTTGTGATGAGACGGATTCATCTTGTTTTCAAAGAGCCAGACGTCGGGCTTGGCAAGTTCCTGCCGCTTCACGCTGATCATTCTAGAATCCATGTCGGTGTATAAATCTACCTCATCGTCAGCAGGATAATAACCGTAGGTGTGGTTTGCTCGGATCAGTCCATTGGGGTTGGATGAAATATTTAAAAATTCATCAGAGCAGCCGTGCAGAGAGCTAGACATGGCCAGTAAAGACGGCGAGGGGCGTATAATTTCATCCTTAAGGTCATCTTCTGTGTCTACCAGAATGGGGGGCTCCTTCCTGAAGCTCAGGGAGGCCGTCAAAGGCGGCTTGTTTTTGCTGTCCCAGTAGCTGTCGTACGTATCAACCGATTTTGACGGCTTTGTGACCTTCTGTTTTAAATAGTCTTTAGACGGCGCTCTCTCGCTGGCTGACTTCTGGAGGACCATCCTAGCCATTGATATGTTCAGGCTCTCTTTATATTCTGACCGCCTCTTCATTTCGTCTGTGCAGCCCCTGACGTCCTCGTTGCTGTTCTTCCGCTCGTTCACCACGTCCACCTCCAAGTAGCCTTTATCCTTGACTTGCAAGTAGATTTCCAGCAGAAGCTCACATTCCACTCGTGCCAGGAAAAGCTCAAAGGCCACTCTTTTGACTTGGGTGGTATCCACGTGGTCTTTGAGCCTGTAGACCGTGCCGTACTCTTGAACATAGCCCATGTTATTTAATATATGCCTAATGTCGTCGTCAATTAAAGCAGCTCTAACGTAGTAAACAAATGGCCCGGTGTAAGTCTGCAATATAAGAAACAAAATGTCAAAACAGAAACAGACACCAGCAACAAAAACGTGGAATAAGATCACATCCAAACAACATGAAACAGTGAATGGAGCAAAAGGAAAAAAAAATCATAATTGTTTAAAGTACAACATTTCTGATAACATATAATACAAATACATTGTGATCTTACTATAAAAAGATATTATATATTATCTATATATCATTTTGGGAAATAAAAGAGTATATACAAAAAGTGATCCCCTGCCTTCTCGAGAAAGCGATGGGAGATTTACCAGTGCTACCCTTATACTTCCTTTTCTAGTTATGGCTTGATGCATAAAGAGCGCACTAAGCTCAGTAAGGCTGGAGGAAAACAATCGTAGTTTTGAAAATTTCAGATTTAAACTTTCAGACCCAACATTATCATTATGTGATGTGAAGGCCTACCTAAATAATTCGCATCATATACAGCTAGACAGATATATATATGAACACCTATAGTTGTTGGTGAGTTTCACTGACCCGACAGATCAGTTGTGAAACCAATTCTAACAGTAGGGCCTTTTTCATATGTGTTGAGATTTAAGAGCGTTGTGTACAGCAATGTGTCACTAGACCATTCATTTTAAAAATAATTTGATGTATTTAATGCATGTTAATCACCTGTAAAAGCCTCCCTCGTGTGGACATCAAATGCCTTGACACTGTTGCTGGGTTTTACCACCTTGAATGTGATGTCAGCAGCCCCAGTGGACATACAGCTTTCACTCAAGTGACACCACAGCAGCCATTCTTTACAAGGGTTCCTCCAGAGGTTGCCAGGGGTTCCTTGAGTTGTGGTTTATTGACCACTCACATTTGATGGTACCTGAAAAGTTCTGGGTTCAATGCTATCTGGCAGAACCGGCTGCATGAATCCAATGATCTTTTAGCTGTTTTAAGAGTGGTATTCTGAACACCACTGTAAGGGGGACATGCTTTCCACTGACCACCATGGCATTTGTCCCTCTGACCACCAATGAATTGGTATAGTAAGGGTTCCCCAAGACCTGAAAATTATTTCACAGGTTTCTCTAGGGCAGCCTTTCTCAACAAGGGTTCTGTGGAACCCTGGGGTTCCTCCAGAGGTAGCTATGCTTTCCTTGATCAGTGAGCATCTTCTGCCTCTCAGATGAGTAACTACTGACATCAATGATGTTTTTATAGCCATCTGTAAGGAGGGGGTTCATTTGGGGTCCTCTACTGACTAAATGTAATTTTTCTCATTACACTGTGACCTCCAGGTATAGTAATTATTATCAGGGGTTCCCTAATACCAGAAAGGTATTTCCAGGGTTTCTCCATGTTAAAAAGGTTGAGAAAAGCTGCTCTAGGGTAACGAAGATGAGAAGGGTTGCTCTATAGTATTTCCCTTCACTCCTCCTATGGCAGTTAAAGGTTATGTAGACAGGTGAGGGGAGGTGTGGAGAAGCTAGGCCAGCACAGACAGTAATGCCAGAAGAAGAGAGAGCTGTGATGGTGAGGAGCTTTTGCTAAGGAATTCAACAATTTTTCTAGCAATTTCAAAGGCACATTGCAAACGAGTAATTTATGGGAATGAAAAACACTGCAAGTAAGCATTTTATCTACTAGATTTTACCGTGCTTTTACCTGCGATGTTTTAGAGGGGGAGGGGGGTCTCTTTAAAGCTTCATTTTGGGAAAGTCAGTCACTTTAAATAAGCTGCTAGCAGGCCTGAGGACTACTTCAAGCTTCAAGACCTACTAGCTGTTTGTTTAAAGTGAAAGCCAGACTCTCATTAGGATCTGTTAACTTCCCCATACTGGAGCTTAAACCCAAACTTTGCCACTGCAAAGGCAATTTGTACGCCTGAAACCAGTTGCCCTGGCCACCTACAGTTCCCCTGTACTGCGAGGGGAATACTCAATAAATATAGGGGAGCACATACGGTATAATACATCACTCCAGCACAAGGTACAACCGTAGGTGCAACGTGTCCTTCAAAGCCTCTTCTCTAAGGTGCTCTCCTCTTTATAGAATGCAGGGTTCAGGGATGCTGAATTTTTATAGCATGATGTCCGGGACATGCAGTTCCAGACACCAAGCAAGTAGTTTTTTGTTTTTTTGTAAACATTTAGCCCTGCGGCAGGCAAACAGAAGGGCTCACTTGTTAGGTGGATGCATTTGGGAGGCTGCGCTGTCGCCCGAATGTTTCCACACACTCCGGCAAAGTGCCCCCTCCCCCATGCACATGCCCCCCCATGCCGGGTAGAGGGGAGGGAGGAGAGTTGACACTCCTCTTCTTGCTCCGGACCTAGAAGTGACATATGACGTCACTTACGGGTCTCCGTTGACAGTTTCCCCAGTTAGTACGGCCGGGAAAGAATGTAACGAAGTACGAATTGTACTGAATTACATTCTGTGGAGCACAGGGGAGACATGCGCATCGGGTGTTTACACATGAAAACGCAAATTGCGATACACGTTACATATTGGCGTGCAAGCCAGAAAGACAGCAGTCTGCAGGATTCCTGCATTACACCAGTGATCTGCTGATCGTTTGCGCAATGCTTTCCGGGCTCCTGAAAATACACACACTTACTTAGGTCCATATGTATTTGGACACAGGCACAATTTTAGTTTTTTTTCAGGTATTTACCAAAACATATTCAAACTATAGTTATAAAATGGATATGGGCTGAAAGTGCACACTCTCAGGTTTAATTTGAGGGTATGTACATCCAAATTGGAGGAAGGGTTTAGGAATTACATCTCTAAAGAGTAGCCATCCCCCCTTTTTCAAAGGGACCAAAAGTAATTGGACAATTGAATCAAAAGCGGTTTCATGGCCAGGTGTGGGCTACTCCTTCGTTACTTCTTCATCAATTAAGCATGTAAAAGGTCTGGAGTTGATTCTAAGTGTGGTATTTGCATTTAGAAACTATTGCTGTAAACCTACATCATCCAAAGCAGATGTCCATGCAAGTGAATCAGGCCATTGTAATGCTTCAAAAACTAAACCAATCCATCAGAGAGATAGCAGCAACATTAGGAGTGACCAAATCAACAGTTTGGTCCATTCTGAGGGAAGAAGAACACACTGGTGAGCTCATCAGCAACATAAAAAGGCATGGACGTCCACGGAAGACAACAGCGGTCGATGATCGCAGGATCCTCTCTATGGTAAAGAAAAACCCATTCACAACATCCAGACAGGTGAAGGACACTCTCGAGGAGGTGGGCATATCATTGTCAAAGTCTACAATCAAGAGAAGACTTCATCAGAGCAAATACAGAGGGTTCACCACAAGGTGCAAACCATTCATAAGCCTGAAGAATAGAAAAGCCAGATTAAACTTGGCCAAAAAAACAACATCTAAAAAGCCAGACCAGTTCTGGAAAAGCAATCTTTGGACGGATGAAACGAAGATGAATCTGTACCAGAATGACGGGAAGAAAAAAGTGTGGAGAAGGCTTGGAACAGCTCATGATCCAAAGCACACAACGTCATCTGTAAAACATGGTGGAGGTGGTGTGATGGCATGGGCATACATGGCTTCCAGTGGCACTGGGTCACTGGCGTTTATTGATGATGTGACAGAAGACAGAAGCAGCCGGATGAATTCTGCCGTGTTTACAGATATACGGTTAGCCCAGAGTCAGCCAAATGCAGCAAAGGTGATTGGACAGCGCTTCACAGTACAGATGGACAATAATCCAAAACACACTGCAAAAGCAACCCAAGAGCTTTTGAAAGAAAAGAAGTGGAATATTCTGCAATGGCCGAGTCAATCACCTGATCTCAAACCAATTGAGCAAGCATTTCACTTGCTGAAGGCAAAACTAAAAGGCAGAAAGACCAACAAAGAACCACTGAAGACTGCTGCAGTTACAGCTTGGCAAAGTATCAGAAAGGAGGAATGTCAGTCTTTGGTCATGTCCATGGGTTCCAGACTTCAGGCAAAGCATCAGAAAGGAGGAATGTCAGTCTTTGGTCATGTCCATGGGTTCCAGACTTCAGGCAAAGCATCAGAAAGGAGGAATGTCAGTCTTTGGTCATGTCCATGGGTTCCAGACTTCAGGCAAAGCATCAGAAAGGAGGAATGTCAGTCTTTGGTCATGTCCATGGGGTTCCAGACTTCAGGCAAAGCATCAGAAAGGAGGAATGTCAGTCTTTGGTCATGTCCATGGGTTCCAGACTTCAGGCAAAGCATCAGAAAGGAGGAATGTCAGTCTTTGGTCATGTCCATGGGTTCCAGACTTCAGGCAAAGCATCAGAAAGGAGGAATGTCAGTCTTTGGTCATGTCCATGGGTTCCAGACTTGAGGCAAAGCATCAGAAAGGAGGAATATCAGTCTTTGGTCATGTCCATGGGTTCCAGACTTGAGGCAAAGCATCAGAAAGGAGGAATATCAGTCTTTGGTCATGTCCATGGGTTCCAGACTTCAGGCAAAGCATCAGAAAGGAGGAATGTCAGTCTTTGGTCATGTCCATGGGTTCCAGACTTGAGGCAAAGCATCAGAAAGGAGGAATGTCAGTCTTTGGTCATGTCCATGGGTTCCAGACTTGAGGCAAAGCATCAGAAAGGAGGAATGTCAGTCTTTGGTCATGTCCATGGGTTCCAGACTTCAGGCAGTCATTGCCAGTAAAGGATACTCAACAAAATCATACAAATGAACATTTTATTTATGATTATATTGAATTGTCCAATTACTTTTGGTCCCTAGAAAAAAAAAAAGGGGGGGGGGCTATTCTTAACAGCTGTAATTCCTAAACCTTTCCTCCAATTTGGATGTACATACCCTCAAATTAAACCTGAGAGTGTGCACTTTCAGTCCATATCCATTATATAACTATAGCTTGAATATGTTTTGGTAAATACCTGAAAAACCCTAAAATTGTGCCTGTGTCCGTGAGTGTGTGTATTAATTTTTATTATTTTTTTTTTTTTACTTAGTAAATGCATTTATTATTTTTTTTAAAAAGGTGAACTTGTCCTTTAATGGAGTGAACACTGGAGCTTGATTTGGCTGCTTGTACTGAGCACCCAAGTGCTTCTGTGTGCGAGAGTAACCTGAAGGAATACATTGTTTTTGTTGTCTCACTGGGGCTGGCACCTCGCTCATTTTACTCAGCAGATGCGCTTCTGCTAAGCGTTTAGGGAGCCCGACACTCCTCTTTCCTGAGGAGCACCCAGTCAGCACTCATCACATGGAAAGGTCTCTCCCCTCCCTGCTAGTCCCGGAGTGCGGTGCTGGAGACAGGCAGGGAGGTGAGGAGGAGATAAACCGCAATGTTAAAAACATGAAAAAAAAAAAGTTTGTCGCCATAAAGTCCCTACTCATTTTAAAAGACATTCCTAAATGAACCTCAGATTTAAATATGGTTTTGAGTAAAATTACTTTTTTTTTTTTTATCAGGACAAGTTGATTGTCATATAGGACAAGTAGTTTTTTTTTTTTTTATTTTCACACCCCTAAGGGTTAACAGTCCTGCATTGCACGTGATGTAAACGCTGTGTAGAAGCTTTACATGGCCAGTGTCCGACCTGAAAATTTTAATTGCATTCCTGCAGTCTACAGCTGCAAAAAAAAGTCCAAAAACAAGATCTGTCCTCACCTTGATATTCTTGTACTCCTTCTTCCAGGGATAAAGGAAAAGATTAATACCGACAGTCTCTAGCATAGCCGCGGCATTGTGAAGTGAGCGCAGATTGGAAGTCCGCAGGGATTTGAGAGAATTCTCGCACACGTCATAGAAGCGGATCAGCCGGAATCGATGAGCGGGGTCGATTTTGGGTAGGCTGAGTAAGGCCGAAGCGGCTGTACGTAGGTACTCATCGCTGATGGCTCGCTGCTTGCTGTCGGAAGCTTCCAGTTTAGACTCATGGAACTGTACATATTTTCTGAAGAGGTCTTCTTTGTACTTTGTATCCATTGAAAAAAGGTTATGGTCACAGCTTGGCAGTTACCTCATCTCATCCATGGCTTTCTTGTCAGGTGAGGATGTAATGAAGTGATGGGGTGATCAGTCATTCTGCTGAAGATGAATCTAGAGGAGAAGGAAGGTGGTAATTAGATATACATAGGAGAAGTTTCTCTAGGACTGCTCACTCTATATTATTCATGTCACAAGGAATACTTTATCAGAACAGCCATTTCATCCCTGGAATTGCTGATATATCTATGTAATAGAGGTTCTGGGTTTTATGTCAGTCAGTTGCTGCCTTACCCACATTTTAATGAGCTGCAGAACTTATGTAAATCACTCTAGTCTGTAATTTATGGGATGATTTGTCAGCTGTGCTCACCATTCACTCTTGCTGAATACTGGGTGCAAAAATTTCATTCAAATACATTTCTCATTCAACAAAGGATATAAATCAATGTGTGCACCTAATGCCTTTGCAAACCCCAGATCTTTTCTTGTGAAAGTAGCCGTGACATTATTAATATGCAGGCTAGGCAGAGTTGAGGGAGGGGCAAGCAAGTCCCACCAATCACAGACTGCCTGCTACAGAAAACTACAGGAGGGGGCGGAGACAAGACCAGTCACCCAGCACAAGGGGAGAGAGCAGAGTGGTGGGAGAGTCTAGGCAGGATCCACCTGCTACAGAAAACTACAGGAGGGGGCGGAGACAAGACCAGTCACTCTGCACAGGGAGAGAAAGAGAGCAGAGCTGTTGGAGGGGCAGGGACCAAGCAGGCTCCACCCACCACAGAAAAAGTATAGGAGGGAGGCAGTGACAAGACCAGTCACCCTGCACAGGGAGAGAAAGAGAGCAGAGCTGTTGGAGGGGCAGGGACTGAGCAGGCTCCACCCACCACAGAAAAAGTACAAGAGGGAGGCAGAGACAAGACCAGTCACCCTGCACAGGGAGAAAGAGCAGAGCTGTGGGAGGGGCAGGAGCCGAGCAGACTCCACCCACCACAGAAAATACAGGAGGGGGCGGAGACAAGACCAGTCACCCTGCATAGGGAGAAAGAGCAGAGCTGTGGGAGGGGCAGGAGCTGAGCAGGCTCCACCCACCACAGAAAGTACAGGAGGGGCAGAAACAAGACCAGTCACCCTTCACAAAGAGAGTGAGCGGTCTTTAATACAGGAAGTCTCACACTGGATGACTGCACAGATCTGCAAGAAATACACAAAGATCACCAAGAAGAATACACATGATGAATGGAATCACACAATACTTCCTTAACTGTGGGAGGGGCCCAGCAGGCAGAAAACTACAGGAGGGGGTGAAGAAAAGACCAGTCACCCTGCACAGAGGGGGAGAGAGAGAGCAGAGATGTGGGAGGGGCAGGGGCTCAGCAGGCTCCACCCACTACAAAAAAGTACAGGAGGGGGCGGAGACAAGACCAGTCCCCCTGCACAAGGAGAGAAAGCAGCAGTGAGCGGTCTTTATTACAGGAAGTCTCACATGAGAATACACGACTCTTGTACTTTTTTGCAAATGGCTTAAAGCCCTAATGTTTGTCTCTTAAATTACATGTCCATCTGAGACTACCCTAGTGATGTGCATTGTCACTTTGTTTTTACCATCCCCAACTTCAAGTGTATACCTAGCCCAAGTCTCCGAAGTCATGTTTGTATATGGCCCTCTGCAGTCTACACATTGCCAGCTCAATGCAGAGCCATGCCTGCTGAACACTGGCGTGTGTAACGAGCCGTCTAGCACAGTACAATCTTATAGGCCAGATGTTCAACAGACATCCCTTACTTTATAGGCAGGAGGGTGACGTTCACATCCACATTCCTGTGTCACCTACCCGTCCACTAGCTGTTATAAAGAACATCATGTAGCTGGTAAAGTCCTTCCTGAAGTTTGCTCTTCCTGTAAGGTGATATGACCCCCCCCCCCCGCCTCTAGTGACAGAAAATATTAGTGCATGAACACAACATCACAACTGACTGGCTCCTTGTGCTGCTTCTCCATCTCCCCGTCTGAGCTCTGCTGTACAGGGGCCTACACGAGGCAGATAACAGATTAGATTCCATTTTTAATGAGTATATGTAACTAGCCTGATCCCCTGCTGTCCAATCATATGGCTAGTCAGACTTCCCGGCACTCTGAAAGCATAAGCGGTAAACGTGTTGGTTGCCAGATATAAAGAGCATTCGGTCACACAATGAGTTTAGATGGAGTCATATTGAAAACAAAGAGCAGAACGATCTCTCTATAGTATTTTCCATTTCGGTATGATATCACAACCTAAATATTACCCTTCTGAGCAACGGTTTCCTGCTTCTATTTAATGTGTGTATAAACCCAGGGGGTTTTCTACATCAGCCGAAATTCCCCCCGCCGCCGCCACTCCAGCCCAGTCAAAACAGCTTCAGGAAGTCACATTAAACATTGTATAAAATGATGTGAATCTGAGAGTGAGAATGTGTACACGGGGCACACGTGTCTCCGCTCTCATCTCTCAATCTGCTCCAATCCAACACGTTACAAGATGGTTGCATCATCTTCACAAGCAGGAAGCCAAGCAGTCTCTATAGGATTGCACTGCTGCAACTATCACTCAGCAATGCACTACAGCTAACCTGGCTGCTTGTGTACGTCCAGTTTTGTGATTTACACAGCTCTGCTACATAGTATAGCCCCGTCTCACAGGAGAGAAGATCTGATTCTTCTCTGCTGCAGTCCATTTACACTTACAGGTGTGGTCCCTGCAATGAAGAGAAGCAGAATGATGAGCTCATCCCTATGCTCTCTCCTCCCATCAGCATGCTCCTTGTTAGCACATGAGCACGCGTACACACCGACTATGGAACTAACTGCACCAGTAACATTCCCAGTGATGCGGCTTTACTGATACAGCAGGTTCAGATTAACTTCTTATACAGCACTCTGCCGTTAACTGCTTAACCAGGCTGGAAGTCATTCAAACAGCAAATGTAACCTATAGTTCTCAGTGGCACGCCTGACAAATGCTGGGAGCTAGTTAGCTGGTGAACGATTTCTGTTCAGCCAGTCTTAGAAGTCCCACAGCTCTGCCACACCTAAAGCTCATCGCCACCTTTTGATATACTATACACAGTTCTTTTGGCCCAACTGAACTACCGGTATGTCCCTCGCTAACCTGTAAGGCCGCTGGATGTGCGGGATAAAACTGTGTGACTGGAGTCACTTTGGGTGGGGGGCCCATGGAACACAGCTCACTTTGGAAAGGTGGGAAGACCCCTGTCTCAGCTCCCTATATCCCTCTTATGTGTAAGTCACCCTGTGCCTGTTAGGGGTACAGGGTGATCTGTCCCAATATTGGGGTGGGGGCTTGTTGATTGTTTAATGCCATGTGGTTGCATCCCATTGTTCTATTGTGTGTCTTACTTGGGAGAAAACTATTATGGGATGTATGTGTTTATGTGTATTAGCTTTGTGTGTGTGTGGGGGGGGGGGTGTCTCCAGCAGCCCTCCCTCCTGATGGGACTGTCTGCTGGTGTGAAGTTTGAATACCTGTGTGTCTCTTGTTGCTAAGTGTAGATTGCCCCAAGTGTATAAAAAGCCAGTTCGAGTTTCAAATAAAGAGTTCCATGTTCAGACAGACTGGTGTTGTCTAGTCTTGTTTGGTCGGCTGTGGTGTCTGTGGTCGGTGTTCGGATGGGGAAGCGGTATTATAATGGAAGTACCCAAGCACAGACTGGGCCAGTTCCATTACAAACTGTATGTAGCTACGGCAACATACAGCATACCGCACTGTGTCCCGGGTGCGAGCCGAGACTTCCAGTCTCAGACCCAGCACACAGTTCAGTCTACCAAGGCAGCGCTCAGCCATTCAGAGTAAGCGATATGTTCTATTAAATGAACACAAAGCTTCCTCTGATTGACGGAGTCAGAGTATGTGACATCATCAGCCCGCCTCTCTGACTCAGCCAAAGAAAAAGGACGTGTATTCTTGAATCTCGGTGTGCTTTGTGTATTTCTTCCAGATCTGTGGAGTCATCCAGTGTGGGACTTCCTGGAATAAAGACCGCTCACTGCTGCTCTCTCTCTTTGTGCTGGGTGACTGGTCTCGTCTCCGCCCCTTCCTGTAGTTTTCTGTAGCAGGTGGATCCTGCCTAGGCTCTCCCCCACCACTCTGCTCTCTCTCTTTGTGCTGGGTGACTGGTCTCGTCTCCGCCCCTTCCTGTAGTTTTCTGTAGCAGGTGGATCCTGCCTAGGCTCTCCCACCACTCTGCTCTCTCTCCTTGTGCTGGGCGACTGGTCTCGTCTCCGCCCCCTCCTGTAGTTTTCTGTAGTGGGTGGAGCCTGCTGAGACTCTCCCACCACTCTGCCCTCTCTCCGTGTGCAGGGGGAACTGGTCTTGTCTCCACCCCCTCCTGTAGTTTTCTTTAGGAAGTGGAGCCTTCTGAGACTCTCCCACCATTCAGCTCTCTCCTTGTGCAGGGGAACTGGTCCAGTGTCCACCCCCTCCTGTAGTTTTCTTTAGGAGGTGGAGCCTGTTGAGACTCTCCCACCACTCTTTATAGAAGAAAATGTGAAAATGGACTTTCTAGGCACAGAAGCTCGGTACACCTGTGCCTAGAAAATTTATTTTCACATTTTCTTCTATAAATAGTCTATATTGGGACATGGCATTTTCTTCCCTATTGGGTGTGACCTCTTATCACCCAAGGGTCACCCCATCTCTCTATTATCTCCCACCACTCTACTCTCTCAGGCTATGTACAGCTCAGTGATGATTTCACTGCTACTTTTACAAGATAATATCTGGGCTTGCGAAGGCATTTGTTGCTGACAAAATGGATTGGCAATCTTAGTGGTTATAGCCTTTGTGGAATAAATATAAATACATGTTTTCATGCGCAGAGTTAAGCTTTGTTAGCCAGGCAAGAGACAACACTATCCCCTATTGCCGCTTTCCAGCTTCCGGTATTACCAGACTGCCTAACAAAGACTGACCGATGAAGCAAAATACAAGGGACCAGCA